AAGAGTGGGTCTGCTATTGACAAATTCTTTCAGGTCTTGTTTATCTGAGAATGTTTTTATCCTTTCTTTCCATATGAAAGATAATCTTGTCAGGTGTAGTATTCTTAGTTGAAACTGTTTTTCATTTAACATTTTGAATATATTTTCCCATTCTTTCCTTGCTAGTAACCTGACGTTTCTCTCATGCCAATTTTAGCATCTTGTCTTTGTCTGTAGATTTGACCAGTCTGGCTATGATGTACCTTGGAGAAGATCTTCTTGGGTTGATTCTATTAGGGATCCTTTGCATTTCTTGGGTCTGGATATTTGAATGCCTCTCTACATTTGGAAAGTTTTCTTCCAAGATTTCATGGAATACATTATCAATGCCCTTATTAGTTTCCTCTCCTTCTGATATACCAAGTATCTGAATGTTTAGGAACTAATGCTGTCTAGTATTTCTCGTACAGTATTTTCATTTTGGGAGGTTATTTTCTGCGGTTTTTATTGTTTTTTTGTTTTTTGGGGTTTTTTTGTTTTTTGGTTGCTTTCTCTAGCTCAGAGGTTTTGCTCTCAACATCCGAGATTCAATTTTCTGCATGGACTAATCTGATTTTAATACTTTCCAGGGATGTTTTGATTTCCTGAAGGGCAGCTTTCATCTGTAATAGCCCCACTCGATTCTTCTTTATGGTGTATATTTCCTCTTTCAGAGCATGAAAGAACTTCAACACCTCCCGGAACTCGTTGCCTCTTTTCTCCAGCATCTTCTGGAGTTTATAATCTCTTAGCTCTTGCATCTTGTTTATTTTTGTCACTATGAATATTCTGAAGTCTTTATCAATCATTTCCATGAATTCTACTGTACCATCTGTAGATGATGAGGTATTATTCTTTTCCCTTAGGGGAGAGATATTTTCTTGGTTTCTCATGTTTCTTGTGCCTCTGTAGTTGTTTCTGGTCATTCTGTGACAAAATCTCTCCACAGTGCTTAGCAATGTGGTATCAACAGTAAGATTAGGAGTTCAGATTTATAGAAATAAATTTCTCTGTTAAAGCAGGAGGTTCAATAAGCATTGAGGATTTCAATGATTCTAAAGGGATTCAGATGCTTGACTACTGTGCATCGAGGCCTTGTCTGAATGTTTTGGGAGTCTAAGAGATGGGTTTAGAGTATGGCTTTCCTGAACACACCAGGACACACCTCAGCTTTAAAATGGCTTCGTGTCTGAATATTTTGGGAGTACCCTATTTTCCTTTTCAATGCAGCATTGGTTGCTACAGGCTTTTGCTGTCCCATCTTCCTTCTGATCCATGTAGATTTTGTTTTCTAAAAGTTCTAGCTTAAGTCACTGATTATCCTAAAATGATGAAATATTTGAGCTAAAGTGTTAGTAATCAGTAGTTCTTAAGGATTATCTCTTTATGTGTATCCTTAATGTTTATTGATATATGTATGCTATGCATACATATACATACACACACACGTATTCAGCTACCTCTACTGAATCATATGCAATGCACTGTGCCATGCAATTTTACATATATTATTTTATATTTTGGATCTATGAGGCCTTCTTTATCTTTGCCCCCAGGGGTATATATGGTCATTCCTTACTTCTTGGATACTTCTTCCAGAAAGTATTAAAGCAACTGTCCATAAAATTTGCCTGGATACTTTGATTTAACACTTAATATAGGAAGAAACAGAAGCATGTAATATATTCAAATAATAGCCAAAATATAAAAAGCATTTGGATACTTCTAGTTCGTATTCCTGGTTAGGTTGTTGCAATCATTTCCTAAAACAAGGAGTGACTAATGGTGGATTTTCATACAGCCTGACAAAGCCATCAGGAAAGATATTTTTGGTCAAAGGGCACTTTAATAGCTTCAAACAATAAAACATTTAGCGAGCTTTCTGTTCTATCATTCAGCAAGGTCAGTTAAGTATGTCCTGAGGTCAAAACTGAATCAAAGCTATACTCGATTATAGATGATCTTACCGAACACTGTGGCCTCTTTTCCATGGCTGCATTGAGTATAACATGAGAATTAAACTTACACAAAGAAGCAGCCTTTTCTCAGAGAGTATGACCAGTAAAAAACACTGGCTTTTAAAATAAGGAAGACAGTAGGAGTGTGCAAATCAAATAAAGATAAGTTGTTAAAGGTTAACTAGTTTCTCCTGGTGGTGTTACAAGCAAATGGCATAGTCATTCTCCAGTTCTACAATATTTAGATCTTTTATTTCAGTCTCACAGTGGGAGCTGAGAACAAATGTGGGTAAACGAGACACAAAATACCTTCAGAGAACATAAGCTAAAACCTATCCTCTTAATCCTTCACTGTTGAATCATATGTTATGTCTGGTCCATAAATGTGAAGAATACCAAAGTACTTCTAGTGTTGCCATGGTTTGGCACACACATCACACATACACTTATACACACACACTCAAGGAAAAGTATAACCATCCTGAAAATGTATAAATATTATTATTATTGCATGTTTTCTATTGATAGAAAACAAATTACTGAAAATTTAGGACCTAAAATGTCTGCCTTTTTTTTGAGACAAAGAGAGACAGCATCCCTCTCACATGTAGCCTAGTCATGCCACAATCCTTTTCTCCTTCATTTCTTCATAATCCCTTTCTCCTTCATTTTTTCAGCCCTGTCAGGATCCTGGGCACATGTTTATGTGTTCCGGTGTGTTTTGCAAGCTACCAGGACTGGGATTCTAACTGCAATCAGTCATGTGGTATCTCGCTCCCTCTGCACACTACATTACAAAGTCCACCTAAAAAATGCCTATTATTTTCCTGTTCTTGTTGATTAGACATTTGGGGCACGGTGCAACTGGTTTCTTTGCTGAGGGTCTCACTAGGCTAAAATCAAATTTTGGCTAGTTTGCCTTCTCATTTGTATTCAGGATCCTCATCCAAATGTAGCTTGGCTTCTAAAAGAATTTGTTTTTTACAATTGTAAAACTGAATTACCAAGCTGGTAGACTGGTGGTTGAGGGTGCTGGACTCCCAAATGGCCAACATGGTTCGAATCCTGGACCTGGTGGCTTGCTTTCTCACTTTCTCTCTCTCTCTCTCCCTCACGTGCATGCATGTGTGCATGCACATGCGCCCTGTCCCTCTCTGGTCAAATTAAAATAAATAAATAAAGTTAAATTAAATAACTCCTTTAAAAAAAGACCTGAAAAATATATATACTATTTTTTTTCACTGTCAGTAAAATATATACACACACACGCACTCACTTTTTTTTTTTTTACTGTCAGTGGGGTTTTAGCACTCAACTCTTTGAGGCTGTATACAGGTCCTAGCCACATGCCCCTTTCATAGCAACACAGCTTCCTTTTTTCAAAACAAAAGAATCAATCGACCTCTCTCTCTTCTCCCTTTCTCTCCCCAGTATACTACAGTAGAATCTTATGGAATACAGTAGAATCACAAGAGTGACTATATCATCCCCTTTGCTATACAGTATGGCTTAAAGGAGGGAGTGACTATCCCATTATGTATTCATAGGCCCTTCCCATACTCAAAAAAAAAAAGGTGGTTACACAATGTAAGTGAGAGCAGAATGTAGGCATCACCTTAGAATTCTTCTCACAGCTATCACTCAGAACTCTAAATTATATGACTAAATTCCTCACCTCTAGAACTAGAATTTAAGTATAAACAGTTCCAAGAACAAAAATAGTGTTTTCTAAGATAGAGAGAGGGAATAAAAACTATCTATAAATCTACAAATGACGACCAAAATTCCCAGAGGAAGATACTTAGGTCTCAATCTCAATGTATCCTTTGAACTATGCCTGACAGAGATACAAACTACTACTTAGAAAAATAATAGAGCTGGCAAAGATTTATGTTCAAATACCTAAATGAGGCCTAAACCCTAGTTTTAGCAACCCCACATCCTAACTTCCACTGAAACCACTCCCTTTTACCACTGCGCTGCTCTTCTTCTTAATTATTATATCCAAGACCTAGCTACAAGTCAATGTGGTGACACGCATTTCCCAGAGACAGAATAAAGCTCAATATTCAAATTATAACACTGACATATTCAAAAGCAGAATTAAAATAACCAGATGACCAAGTTTCTGTTCTGGTGTACAAGCCTTATATAATCATCTTCCGTCAATGTGGGTGGGCCTGTAAATATGATTGGTCAGTCTCTCCTTTGGTTAGGTTATATAATGGCAAAGGGATGAAACAGTTATTCCCATGATTATGTCTTGTTATATAAGACTTTGTCTAGCAGGCTGGAGAGAGTCCCCTGGTAGCCTTAAAGAAAGAAGCAGCCATGTCACAAGAGGGTCATGTGCTATCACTGAAGCAACTTTCGGGAGCGGAGAGTGATCCTGAGATGACCTCCAGACAGAAAATGGGAACCTCAGGTCTACGGTTACAGCAAACTGAATTCTTCCGACAATGTGAAAGAGCTTTGAAGAGAACGCTGAGCATCAGAGATCTCATTCCAGGTGACATCTAAGTTTTAGCATGGTGAGACCCTGAACAGAAGACCCAGCTAACTCACAGCTAGAAACCTAACCCACAGAAACTGCATGATAATAAATATGCATTGCTTTAAGCTGCCCACTTTGTGGTAACCTTTTATGCACAACAGAAAGCTAACATATAAGCAAGTTGGTCAATAAGTAACTAAATTGGCAAAATTAGTAATAGAAACTTATTTCAGCAACACCTTTCAATAACTAAATCCCAATTGGTCCTCTACCATGGCTACAGTATTTCGGGCTTTAAAAATGTGTTTGAAACCTAAAATACACCTAAAAATAAGCACATAATTTTGTGGCACTACAGAGTGCTTAAGATGACAAACCAAAACTAAAATTCCTTAGTTAATAAAAGAATGACAACAGTGGGGATTTATCTATGTAACTCTAACAATGTTATTATAGAAATTTTAAATACTTATAGTAAGAATATATTTTTTATATATACATATATAGGCACAGAATCAAAAGGCACTTACTCAGAAAGTTGTTCACTGATGGGATTCGAGGATGGTAGAATCCTGTTTTGCAAATACACTGATAGGCTCCAAGTACAAACCCTAGGCCTTTAATTGGCATACACTATGAAAACAAAAAAAAAGAGAGAAAAGACAGCAATGTAGTTGATCATAGTTTATTTAACAGTGTAAAGACTCACAGATATCCATTACTGTAAATGTAACAAAGCTAACACATTTTCCAGAAATAAAATATCTCTTTTTTGAATTTTTATTTAGGTTTGTTTGCCAACAGACATTTTTGGGAAGTAGCAAATTGAGTTTCCTTAAATGAATGCCATTACAGCTGCAGTTGCCATACATCCTTAACTTACTCAGTTGCCACAGGGAGTGATTACTAGACAGAGTTTTTGTTTTAAATGCCTCAGATATCATCCCATTGCTTTCAGAAATCTTACAAAAGCCTAGAAGAATATTTTTAAATGATTTTATATTAAATACCTTTATTGAGCAAAAGTAGATAGGTATATAGATAGACAAATACACAGAGAGAATTGTTTTCATTAGCTAAATATTCTTCAAATTTCATCCTTGGATCAAAATAATACAAACTGATAGAATAACAGAAAAAGTAAGTTTTAAAACACAAGTTTAGAATATAAAAATAAAGATTAATTAATGATCACAAGGGCTCTTTCACCTAAAATGTTTCACAGATAAATGTTCCATATATACATATGTATGATCACCTTTTCAAATATGCAACACCAATAGCCAATAGATAACAACCAAATGTTACATACATACACATACACACACACACATATACACACACATGATCACCTTTTCAAATATGTAACACCAATAGCCAATAGATAACAACCAAAAATTTAATCTTGGCATCTTTCAAGGATATTACCAAACCCAAGCAAAATTCAGCTTACCATTCTTTATTTTTACAAAATTCAGTAGGAGGAATAGCTTCTATTAAACTACAAATACTATATTAGTAAAATAGGAGTGTTCCAAGAATATAATCAATACTGAAATTAGTGTTCAAGATGTATCTCTACCAAGATCCCAACCTATTTTACTACTAAAATCCATTAAAGGAATTTAAAATTTAGTCAACTTAAAAGTTATAAGATACTTCTCTGATACAGAGGCCCTTGAGAGAGATTTCTAAATAATTTAAATAATAATTCCACAACCTAAGCATAAAAGATTAGCATCAAGATCAATATTATATATCATAAAAATTCCAGCAAACAAAAAATTATTTCTACAAAAGGTAACAAGAGCTAATAGGTGTTTTAAAGTCAAAGATGAAGAAACCTTTGAAAAAGAGCTTTCTAAGGTTTTTCTTGAATATTTTATTTTATTAATATCCATTTTACTTCACTCAACACCCATTTATCTACAATCTCATTGTATATAAACAGGATACTTTACCCCCAGAAAAATAAAATGGCAGATGAGTACCAGTCTATTCGACTGAACTAGGAAGTATTTGCAAAATAACTGATGTGTGGGGCTAGAGAAATTCTACAGACCCTAAATTAAATAACACATACTATTTATAAAGATCCAGTTATACAATAGGTCAAATCATAATTCTGAACTACATAAACAAAACAACAACAATTAGAACATTTACTTTGGAGAAACACTAATTTAAAAAAAAATCATATGTGGTTAGTAAGAAAATGTAAATTTGTATTATGATGTTACTGTTTCCTAACTCTGTGAGTTTCAGCTGTTCTCAAAATCTCTCTAAGTTTTATTTTTTCTTTTAATTTAAAGAATAATCAACCAGTCAGATTTGGATATGTTTGAAAAGCTACCAAAATGCCCCAATGGGTTAAATACGGAGAATAAGAGGAAAAGAAAAATAAAGAATGACTCCAAGGTTTGGCCTAAGAAACCTTAGAATGAAACTGACATCAACTGAGCTGAAAAAAAAACATCAACTCAAGTAGAGGAAAAGAGCAGAAGTTTTGCACATGTGAAGTGTGAAGTGTCTAACTGAATCTTAATTACTTATAGGTTTCAAATAGGCAGCTTCATAAACTAGTATGGAATTTAAGAGAGATGTCTGAGCTGTATAATTTGGAACCTGTTTGCCTAAACATGGTAGATAAAAGCCATGAGATGAGATAAGTCTACACCCCTATGGAAATGCCTACAGACAATGGAGGAAACAGGTCCAAAGTTGGGTGACTGACATATCTGTTACTGTTGATCACCAGGATTGATTCAGATCATCATGCTGACTGATCAAGTTCCATGTCCCTCCCTCCTGAAGCTGCTTGCTAGTTCAAAGAGGACAATCTTTCCCAATAAAGAAGGACTATTATTAAGTAAAAGGTACAGGAGTTAGCTGAGCTCTCCTGCTAGAACCTCCAAACATGTGCTCAACAAAATATGTCCTGGTAGTGAGTCTCAAGATACTCCAGTGCTGAAAAGTTTAACAGAAGAAAAAAAAAAAAGAAAGAAAAAGAAAAAACAAAAAACAAAAACAAAAACGAATAATGAAAAGAGCCACTCAATGGAGTAGCATTACTCCATTAATTCCTCATGATGATATGAACGCCATTATGTGGACATTGTAAGTTACATTTAAAGGCATTCATCCAGCAATGATTAATCTCTGTAAACTAACTCTTTACTGAGGGACGGTACCATTTCCGGGACTGACCAGTGAAAAAACAAAGGAGATACCAGAAACCTAAAATAACTTTTTGTCTAACTCAACAGTTTAATAACCAATCAATCAGAGACAGCTACATTCCCTGTAATCTACAACCAATGTATTGTCGCCTGAGTGCAAGATCCCGGGAGGAGAAGCGATTGCGGCGTGGCCATCCCCCCTGGGCGTGATTTCTTGCTTTCTGTCTCTCCGGTCTCTCTCTCTGTCTGTCCGGCCAACGCCCGCGCCCTATAGGGAAAACCTCTCAAAAAAAAAAAAAAAAAAGAAAGAAAAAGAAGTTAATGCTGTTCATTAAAGCAGCACCAATTTTCTGATGATGTAATTCAGCGCTGCAATGGTGACTCAGTAGCACATTTCAAATGCTCAGGGCAGATCTTAAAGTTCATTGGAATAAAAGTCTCTAAACTCTACAAGCAAACTCTCAAGCTGACAGCAAAATAAAGATTTTTTTTTTAAATCTAGTTGATCAGATAGATATTGTCCCTCCCCAACAAAAGTTTCTCAAACTTAAAACAAAAATGCTTCCTAATTCTATTACAGAAAACAGTAACATGAACTGCTTATTCTTAAATTATCTTACAATATCAAAGGATAAAAAAGAGCTTTCAGTAAGTTATAATCAATAAAAGCACATCATTCTGCTATACTTACTCCACTCAAAGATTGTAAGGCTGGTATGGAACCTATTGTACGACTGTTTACATATATTTGCTTTGGAATATACAGATGATCTTAGTTTTTTTTTCTGCTAAGCATTTGCGATTTGCAATCAACTTGCTCCCATACTTTCTTGCTCCTGTCCACTCCCAACACTGCCCAAGGTAGCATTTCTTCCATGAGAGTAGCTGTTCTGTGAGTTACCTTTGATATACAATGAACTTGTTATATTAAGAGTTATAGTATCGGGAACCAGCAGTTAATGTAATGGCTATGTCACTGGACTCCCATGTAGTCGACCGCGGTTCGCGTTCCGGACCAGGTGGCTTAGAACTCACGCAGGGCGCGTGTGCGTGTGTGCCCAAGATCCTGAAAGGAGAATGGAGGAGAAGGGATTGCGGTGTGACCATCCCCCCTGGGGGGTGATTTCTCGCTTTCTGTCTCTCTGTCTCTGTCTGTCTGGCGAGCGCACGCGCCCTGTA